TCTGGGTAAAATTGTAAGCTAACAGTTGTGGTATTCTATATTTATAAATACTAGTATTTCTGAATTACGGATTAAATATTGCACATAGAAAAACAAATTGCTTTTTCTTAACATTTAAAGCATCCAACTTACGTTTATATTCCGATATCTCAATTTAAAACCATCTTAAGATTTTTATAAAATATAAATGTTCGTATACCAACTGGTGAAAATTTAAAATACTCAAATGTTTATGGCTGTCCTCATTTTTCCATTTTAATCACTTAACATTCACCCCTATTACAAATTGGCATCGTGGTATTTTTCTTCATAAATGTTAACACCTTTTCCCAGTTAAATTTCTGAATATTTGGTCCAATACTGCAAAGTCTTAGTAAGATAAGGTAAGTAAGATTACTTGCAAGTTTGCAAGAGCATAATAAATGTATCTTTCCACATCTTCCTGCTTCTGATCGTTTCCTGCAAAAGTTGGTCGGTTTTCATATCTTTTATTTTACTGGATATATACTCGTATATTCCATATTATATTTGTTTAGCTATCTATGATATTGAACGAATTTAAGTTTTATTTATACGTCGTACCTTCTATTTTTTTCAACTTTCTTCCAAATAAAAAGGTATAAAAGGCCTATTGTAGCGATGAATAGTTGAAAACAGTTATGAATGAGTTCGATTTTATAATTTAATTTAAGATGAATAATCAATATCTAATAAGTAAATCAAATATAATAGTAATATCTCACAAGTAAACATTTGTTAACATCGGAAAACCAACTATTGGACGAAAAATTAGTACTCTATTGAACATGAAACTGCATTTGAATAATGTATTAAAATAAATAGGAATGTAATCATGTCTTAAAAAACAAATAAGAAAAAATGCTCCAAAAATAATTTTTTCAGGGTTTTCATCATAAATACAGATAAAAGTGATCCATGAATACCGCCCCAAAGTTGGGTATTTCAATTTATTCTTGAAAGGGCTCAAAATATCAAAGTGGACTTGAAACGAAGATCTTTTGGCTTTAAGGATTCTTTGACGAGTATGATTAAACACCTTTTCAAACGCCTTAAGCTTCAGGAAGAAAGAAAATTAATTTTTTCGTGTCCTACAGACAAGAATAAATTTGATAAAAGTCTTCAAAACCAATTTTTAAAGTTACATTATTTAAAAAAGAAAATTACACAACTCGAAATCAGAGTCGATATGAAAATCTACTGGAACTTTAGTCTCCGTATAGAAAACAATAAATCTTACATTTCATCATATAACTTTTAGTTCATCCCCCTATACTTAATATATGGAGAAAGTATTGTTAGTTCAAACTATTATTTGTTTGAAACTTCTGAAAAAATCATGAACATATTTTAGGGATAAAACCTTCTTAGCGACATACCGTACTTGTAAATTAGTATAGAACAAATGCCATAAAGCGTATGAATACATTGTAAGGCGATGTAACTAAAAAATCATAACCTAGTATCGTAAACTTCCATTTTTGATTCACAAATGACCAACCATAATATAATTATTCTGATAAAATAATGAAATATGGGATTTTATCACTTACATTCCTGAAGTGACTCTTCTATACGAGCTTAAGTTTTACAACCGAGGGTGGAAAAAGAGCAAGTAAAGCTGGTACTCAGTAAAAAATGCTAACTCCCTTCCACTCTCACCCTCTTTACATTTGGATCATCATAGGTGCAGTTGTATAGCCATCTTGATTGGTAATTATAATTATGACCAAAAACAAACTGTGACTTTGATTATATTTTTTACTCAAACTGACTCTTTTCCAGTGATATGAAGAATGACTTAAGTACTGCAACGCATAAATTGAAAGAAACCCCTTTGATTCTGCAGTATTACGCAATATTATAATCATTTGTGATTGGTTTCGTTGGAATTCTCGTAGATAAGGTGGATATTACCTAAAAAAAACTACCTACTAACATTTATGGTTCGAATACCAGTTGAATCCCTTTTGAATAAAACAGTTTACTGTAGTAAGAGATGGACAAAAAGATTAATTTGGGTTCTTGCAGAGTTAGCTTGATTAATGTTTCGCAACGCGTTTTCTTGTTTCTCGTCCGTGGCGCGCTTTTATTGTATTTGACAGAAAAAAAATAGTTCGACAGATAACAAATCGTCAGAACAATTCCAGCTTGCATTCTCCTGTACGATGAGGTAGGAATGAATATTCTTGTAAAGTACCTTTGTACTTGATTTGATAGTTAAATAGTTCGTATACTAACCAAACGAAAAGAAAGAAGGGGTAGTGCTTAGTTTATAAATCTGGACTGTTTACTAGAAAGTTACATTTTGACAATCAATCCACAAGTTGTTGGTAAATTACAGGAAATTGTTTTTTTTTTTCAATTTAATGACATATATAAGTTTAGAATTGTTTTTATTTCAACCGTCCCTATACACCTTCTTGTATGAGGTGATCCACACAGTAAAGATGGGATAGCTCCAATCCGACCAGGGGATAATGCGTGATTGGACCCCAAACATACGAATATTTATTTCATTTAGCCGATTTTAAATCATTCCCTTAAACCCTCCGAGCATAAAAATATCCAATAGTAGTCAAAGTTTTCTAAAGAAATGAGAGCTAATATTTTTTTATTCAAGACATAGGCCTACAAAAATTAGACATCTGCATGATAAACTAATGGTAACATTCCTTCATATTAAATGTACTATAATACGCCAACCACTAGCAATACAAGGAATGCAGTTGAAATAGCGCATCGCATTGACGGTTTGATGCATTAAAGCGATATTGGACGATTTGTTAGACATGGTAAGCCTCTTTGTTTGGTACCACTTCATATAAAGTTATATAAAGTCGAAAGTATATTTACTTATTTATTTAATAACTGGATTATTGGATTTTAGAGAATCTAAATCATTCAAGACCGGAAAACTGTTGATTGTTTGTAATTGGATTGATTTGTGACATTATATCAGATAAGGCTTTGATAAAATGTATACCAAATTTGCTTATTGAAAAACATTATAGAAAGTTTTTAGCATAGAACAAATACCAACTGTAGTTTGTGCAGTTGTTGTTGTACCCTTTTATATTTATTTAAATGGCTGCATAGAATTATGCATTCTAATTTAATTAACAGATTGATTTATATTTATATTTTATTTTTATTTAACAGTCGGTCTTTATAGGTGGGATTTTTGCAAAACCATTTCGGTCCGTGGTACAAACGTTATTTTTCACCACACTATACCCTATTACCTATTCACCACAATAATAATGCACACCATGTCAACACAACCACAAATTTTAGGTTGTGTGAAGAAATAATTTGAGGAATAAGCATAAATAATAATTAATAGTTGCTAGACAGCGATGAAATTGAACAATTCTATTGCAACGCTATGTATACTGATTGTGCATTTAATATGCATTAATGTTTTAAGAATGTAAGCGGGCAGCTGATTTTCGGCCCTAGGGACGTAAAAACCGGCTCGGTCCCCAAATGACGATGGCAGCTGGCATATACAGCAATACGTAGCTTTCGGCCTCAAATAAACGTTTTTAAACTGCTAAAAACATCGAAGTATGGTGAAAACTTTATTTTTAATATGTTACAATCTATATATACAGCTTCTTGGTCTATTAGACGTGTTTGGATGTGCTAAATTTAAAGTAGTAAAACTTTACATTTATATTTTTTTTTTATGAAAGACAAGCCAATTAAAGCTTTTACCCATTTTGATTAGTCTTCCAATTGGTGAACTGAGCCTGAAGTAAGACTTAACTACTGCTTAAAGGGGAAACACAGCAGCAGTTTCAGTTAAGGTTCAACTCAAGCTACATGTTTCTACAGTTCCAATCTCCCCAATAACCACAGATTGAATCAACCTTTTGAATTCCAGTTGGTAGCATTGATCCAAGTTAATTAATGCTCAACTTAACATCTTTGACAATTTTCTTACAATTATTTGGGACTCTTCTCCAAATAGGTCACCAGGTTGAACAGGTAAATATGTTACTGATCCAGAAGCTATATATCAGGTACTGTAAGATGATCACTTCTTAATTGCGGATTTTAAACTAACGAAACAGGTCCCAGATTTAATTGTAGACATAATGTAGAATAATACTTTTAATACTTTAATACTTTCTTATGAAATGGCGACCGTACGAATGTAACATGGTAACCTCTTTGAATTTTAAAAACTGTTCTCGTTTTTGCCAGTGTTGGTATATACGATCACATATTACTTAAAACATAATGCCATGTTTATAAGTGTCTGGAATCAATACATCATAGGAGAGGTAAATTTCAACACAATATAATGAAACGATTAGTTTATTGGCTGAAAAATGCTGCTGCACATAGTGAAACCATTACCATACATCACTTTTTGATTCTATTACTATAAAGAATCATATTTACTGAAGATATTTCAGTTTGTATTGCAATTTGTATTCTCTGTGTCTGTTAAAAAACAATTAACTCAAACGTCAAAAAATCGTATGAAACGTTTTTATGTTCTATTTTGTGTAAGTAATTGTATACATGCATTTGTATTCTGTACCCACAAAGCTTATTCGTAGTTACCATTTGTCAACTAAAGAAGTGAATAATCACACCAACATCACTTTCACATGCATTTAAATTGTTTACTATTCTAAAATAGCTATCGTTTGGATTTCCATAGGGTGGTAATGTTAATGTTGGGGTTTCTCTCTTCTCTTAGATGATTATCTAACTTTATAGATGGTTCTACAGATCAAGATGGGCTTCAATTATATAAAATCACCCATGGTAAAATACCATTTATGATTAACACAAGCTCAACCCTCTGAAACCAAAGTCGCTTCCCTCTACCAAACTAGCTAAACTATGGTAGGGTTAAACAACACACATTCACACATACTGAAACAGTGGAAACTAGCTGAGAGGGTGGATTGGGAAGAAATAAAAGGCAGGCAGCAAGCAAAGCCAACATAGAATAGACTCACCAGTGTGTGGGCAGCCGCCTGGTGCTGCAATAAGAGGAAAAGGCTTAGCACAGAGGAACATAGAACACAGCACATAGCAGAGCACATAGAACATAGAGTAATGACTTACACATCGCACACGCTACAACCAGTCATACAAATACACACTCACACATACACACTTAATATATTGTGTAAGTGTAGTATTTTGTGATGAAATCCTCCTTAAATACTTCGTGAACACCATATCGTCTCCTCACACCAGTAAACATTGTGTACTAAAAACTTGAACTATGATAAGAAATTGGGTTGGATCAGATTAATATAAACAAACTAAACATTTTTGTATTTCAAAACCCAACCTCATTTGCATAAAAGTTTGGGACGTCAAGAGCGTTTCTTGAATAGTCGCACTTAATGTTCTAATTCTTCAGTAATGAATTGTAAACTAACATAATTTATACTAAAAATAATAATTGTTTGTGTTTATTAACCACCGTATTGCTGTTAGTAGGTAGTTCTCTACAGAGAAAGGTCATCTCACATGTGATAAATACTTTTTTCATTTTCTAGATAGGAGGATCCACTGTTTAAGGTGTGCTATGGACTAGCGACTAATCGCAAAGCAACAAGCCTTTTCATAAGTGACATTTCGATCTCCAGGACAGAAGTCCCACGCTCTAAACCCAGGTCCAATCATGACCCTTATGTATTGAGAGAGTATTTTTCAACAGTCAAATAAAAGGTGTACTGACAGCAGTAAACAGTCAAAAGCTGCGCTTTGTTCAAAACAATCTTTTAAAACAAATTGATTCATTGTTTATTGTTTATTGTTCGTTCACCCACAAAACAAGGCTACATTACAAAACTACGACTTGATGATTTATATCAATCAGCTGACAGATAAAAAACCAAAAACCTTTTCTACCAATGAACACATGAAAAGAATAATCGACCCTCTTCACCCAATTGGGTTGTTTTTATACTAAACCACCCCATTATCAATTTAAGAGCCTGACACTCTGACTGAGAACAAAACGTATTACATTCATTTCTGTTTTATTTAATTTCTGATGTGTTATTTTTCATCACGTTATGTACGAAACATATCAAGATTAATGTTGTACTCGCCACCTTTAAAACCCATACGGACCGAGGGGAACCCACGGATAACTTCGTTCTTGGCCTTGACCTAAGATTTAATTTAGAAAGACCAGTCATGCGTCGGTCATCCAGTCATCTCCGTCCCACATTGAATGGGCTAGTTGAATGTGAGGCGACTGTCGTAGCTGGAGGGTAACCACTCCAAGAAGGTTTAATGATCCTACTTCTGCCAGAACAGACACCATAGTTCCCCCAACGAGTGAAAGTATTTCCTCAGAACCTGTTATCCGTTGGAAATGCTTTCGTTGGATTACTTGTTTTGCAATAACTCGTATTTTAACGAAATGTATGTATTTTTAACTACTGCTTGTCCTCTAGTAAGCTACAGACGCGTGTATGATGTATCCTAAAGCTGCTTAACACTAGGTGACATAAATGCAATTAATTGAGCGTATCAGACAACAAACACATAACCATGCTTCAGATTTGACAATAGGGTGATAAGTCTACTGTCACTACCCAAGATCACCAACCACCCGTGGAAACAGCTGTTCTTTTGCGGCACCGTCCTGAATTATTACAAAACCAATTAAACATACAACCCATACACATTATCTTTGACATCACAGTTTAAAACACATATTACTAGCTGGCTAAATAGATCACATCAATTAATTGTAACGAAAGGAGTTTTAGTTACATTAAACAATCAATCTGAATCAAACTAATAAGCTATCACAGTTGTCCTAGGAGTATTTTACTTGAATAAAACGCGTGGAAATGGTAGATTTGTGGTAGATTCTGATGGTTGTTAAACGATTTATTGTGTTTAAAAAAATACCCACACCACAGCAAACCTGCCGACTAAGCAAATTTGCAGTTGCCTGAATTGATTTTTAATTCAATGATTTTAATAAACATTAGGTTCGACTACATAGGCTTGCTGCTACAGGGAGGGTGACAAAGTATGTTTTATAGTAAAACAATGATAACTTAGTATAAAATAAATGAATTTATCAAGTTTGATCAAAATATATTTATAAACAAGCAAACTACAATATTTTACAATATTCTCCATAAGAATAACATCAACATTCTGAAGAGAGATTATATTGATAGCTTTATGTAATTGATAAGAATGAGACAACTGACATCCGCTTGTCAAGGAATTCCAGCTTTAACAGTAGTAACCCGGCCCACGACTAATTTATCTAAACTATGCTAGAGGGTTATTCATTGGCACAGAGTCACGGTATGATGACCGACGTGACGAAGGAATAAATAAAACTTACACAGCTTAAGGGTGGACCTCCCTTTGAAGTAAGAATGTGCTTTCTCAACAAACCGATATTTTTCCTCATATAAAAGCATAGATTTCATCTGCAAAACACTGATGAAATCGCGGAAGTGTTTACCACAAAAGATCCACTAATACGATTTTTATACTATTTAAAGGGTTATTCCAAAAGAAGAGAAACCAGTTAACTTACTAATAATAACTCCGATGACGTACTGTATGTGAAATATTTTATTCATTGAATGATCAACCATATTTTGTAACTAACGCAATTTGCCAATAGCCATTATTGTTTTTACACTTACAGTATTACTTATTAGACAATGCTAAATGCTCCAAATTGGTATAATTTCACTCTATTTATCGCAGTTAGATAAATTAGCAAAAGCCTTGAAAGTAACCATCGATTTCGACGGGTTTCACCTAGTGGCTACTGAAACTGTCCGCACGTATGCTCTGGAATGCCCCTATTCCCACCACCATCACTCACTCGACAGGGTGGCAATGAAAACCGTCAGATCATTTTGCCGCTCTCTGTATATAATTCAGCAACACCATGTGTAAGGTTTGTTCACAATATCACAATATAGTTCCAAACCTGAATTTGTTGTAATTTGATTACTATTTCCCCAAAAATATATCTAGAAAATAATTCTCATAAGCTTCGTTTGAACTCAGATTAAGAGCCAAGGTTGATACGGCCATGGTTATAGAATCTTGTTTATTTCCTACATCAATGAATAAAATCTAAATTACTTATTCCCTATCTATATTTAAACTATAATATGGGTAACGTTGGGCACGATGATTTCTAAAACGGCTTGAATGAGTTCCACTTTAATGTTAAAAATATCTTAGTTTCAGGCTAAAAACAATATTAATGCTAGCCTCTGTTCTGGAAAAATTCACTACTAGTTCAAAACAAAATTAAAAAATGAACTTGATTAAAGGCATACAACATCGCATCTTGGTTCATCAGTCCATTGTGCTACTTACTGAGCCACCGACTCCCTTAATATTTGCGTTGCAATATTTATTATACAAACTAATACTTATTTAATAAACAAATAAAACAACATAAAAATGGTTTAAAATCGAACTTTTTCAATTTTAAGGCGTCCCATTTTGTAAACCAAGATGAAAATCATAGCAGCTATACTATTGAGTAATGATATAGAACGTACTGTTAAATAGCAAATGCAATCTTTTGACATTTTGAATATCTTGACTCTCAGAACAATGTATAATACAGTTTAATGATATTAATAGATACATATTGTTACATACTTATTGTTACATTAATTCGCGAGACATGTTGTCACGTCACGATGTACGACATACTATTGCAGCGTGCACAGGGTGTAAGATGTTTACTGTTTATGCATCGAACTCGCAGTCAACAGGTCACATTGTGTTTTTATTTTCGAACATAACACTTTTCATATCACTTGAGAAAATGAATACACATATTGTTACATACTTATTGTTACATTAATTCGCGAGACATGTTGTCACGTCACGATGTACGACATACTATTGCAGCGTGCACAGGGTGTAAGATGTTTACTGTTTATGCATCGAACTCGCAGTCAACAGGTCACATTGTGTTTTTATTTTCGAACATAACACTTTTCATATCACTTGAGAAAATGAATACGTCTAAGATGTTTCCGTGTTGAAGATTTTGTGTTGGAGAATAACACTATTGTTGAAAATAATAAAGCTTGGCATAACATACCTAAATCGTATATGAATACAAAATAATGAATTTAATAATGCAATAGAATATTAATGGTTTTATTCCAATACATTGTCAAGAAATTATGTTTACCTGTTTATGGTATTCGACGTATTTGTGGGAAAGGGGTGTCATTATATTTTTAGGCTATACTGGGGTATATTTTACGGCTTTTACTTATTCTTCGATATTCTCTTTTATTCCAAACACAGAAATAAAAATAACCGTTCAAGTTAACAAATACTTCACTAACAAGTGGTAAGAATAAATATTAATCTACTTCTTTGTTAACACTGTACGTATTTTACGGAAAGTAAATAAAAATACGTTTACAAACTCTTGAAACGCATAACTCACACAAGACATTAAATATATTTATAAAATATGGTATGTAGTTATCGACTTCAAGTGCGAGACGCTGGAGATGATTGGAGTGTCCAATCAAAATTCAATATAAACTTTTATATAACGTATTAAAAAAAAAACATATACGCCTATTGTTTTTACCTGTAAAACATTTTAACTTTTAGTTATGATAGGTACGTTTAATTGAGTTGTAAGGCCAATTTCTCTTTGGTGGATGACCCTTTTTTTTAAATATTTAAAATGTTTACAGTAAAGCTGAAAAACAAATTCATTGTACATAACATAATTATGTTCATAAGAATTTTGGCAACAACGCACCCACATTTTCGCAAACCTATCATGGCTACTTGGCAACCCATAAGACTGATGTTAAAATATTGAAATGTCATTTAAAGTGTTTAAAGAAAATCTAATTTTTCCAGAACAGAGCCTAGCATAAGTATTTTGTTTGGCCTCAATCAAAGATAATTCTAAGAATTAGTATGACATCGTTGGTGCTATTTTTGAAAATATTGTACGTATAAACGTTACTCAAATTAT